ATGCCTTGCAGTGTCTTTCCAATGGTTTGTATTGCCTTCCTACTCATGTCACACCCCGGGGGTGCTAACATAACTGTGACAGCTGACTGTCCCTCAGAAACCGGCTGCTTTGGTGTCACAGCTAGAAGGAAGCTTAATACTAACATTCTTCAAGACGGCCAGTTAGACTAGTTAACTCTTCTTAAAGCCATTCACATCACAAAAGGAAAAAAATGCCCAGTTTTCCCAGGAGGGTTGGAATGAAGGCTCGGGAGTAAAGGTGCTTACTGAACAAGCCCGGCATCCCGAGTTCGATCCCCAGATCCCACTTAGAGCTAGAAGTAGAGAATTGACAATACAGAGTTGTCTTCTGGCCTTCACGTGTGACCTGTGGCATGCATGTCCACACATATCACACACACACACACACACAAAACGTATTTTTTTTAAAGTTAGCCCAGAAAAGGACAACAAAACCAAAAGACCATTACATTGTGGGGACAAAACAACTAGCATCCTTAAGAAGGGGAGCTGGCATCAATTCAGTGAAGAAGTTAGCTTTTCCAACGACATCTAGTCAACCTAAAAATAAGGAGATGATAAATGATAGGCACATATTCACTTTGTTTAAACAATGTAAACATAACACTGTATTTCGTTAATCACAGAGACGTTGTACTACACAGATCACAGTAAATCTAGGGCTACGCCACCACTGTGATCAACCACGCAGTGCCACCATCATCGTTAGCATCTCATCAGAACCCTCGGACCCCCAACGCTGGCATCTCTGTCTTCATCGTCCCCATCTCTATCAACCTTCCCATATCTGTTGACCTTACTCAGTACCGGGCCTTCCCAGCAACTCTACTTGACACTTTGTCATTTTGCAGATGAGAAAGACAAAGTTTAGTGAAGTCAAAGCCACACAGTTAGGTGGCAAAGCTTTGGCTAACCTAACACTAAATTCTATGCTTTCTAATGCTGATCCTTTTCCCCCTCTCATCTCAACACAAGATATCATGCTAGTCCGGGCTATCCTCAAATTCACAGCTTTATTATATAGCCCTAGCTTTACCTCTGTCTTACACTGACCCTCTTGCCTCAGTCTCCCCAGTGCTGGCATTATAGGCATGAACCACCACACCCAGCTGCCCAGCACCAAAGTACAGGCTTTGAGACTGAACTCCGAGCTACTTCTCAGCATCTCTTTTTATTAGTACCAAGGCCTCCTAGGTACTTGTCCTCTTTGTCTTCAGTTTTCCCATCTGTAAGATGAGAATAGTAACAGTCCCTGGATTTCAGTATTCTAACATGCCTGGCCAATGGTCTGTGTAGAAGAAACTTTTTAGCTGTATTGTTGTTATCTTTTACATGGAATTGGCCCTAACCCTACCTGATACAGATGCTCAAAAGGCCCAAGTTTCCTCTTAAAGAATGAGAAGATACTGCTACCTCCTTGCCCCCTTTCAGCTTCTCTGTGGAACCATGAGGAAAACCAGCCGGAGGCTCCCTGCAAGGAGGATGCTCTAGCGTGTGACCTGTTTCACCACAGATTGTTCAGTTTCACACAAGAGAGGGTCTTCAGGGGTGTGTGAGAGAAAGGAGGAGGAAGAGTCAGGGACGAGGCTGTGGGGAGCCAGGGCCAGTGAAGAACGGCTTGGCGGTGTGGCTCTGGGGATGCCTGTCATACACCACACACCCCCACCCCCTAAGCTTGCACCTGTTCCACAGCGCTGGATGTGAGCGTGGTTCCCAGTTCTGCTTCAGCTTCTTCTGCTCTCTTCCCACATCCTGACCTTGGGGTGTGACTGGAAGAGATCAGACAGCCTCCTGGGAGTTCCTTCTTCAGCCTAGAGCCAGATGTACAGTGACATCTCCACCTGCAGGTGAGCAGTTCAGAGCACCTCGCTGACACCAGAGTTCACACAGAGTGAGACCGAGTGGGTCTAGCCTCTGTCTTCCCAGAGGATTAGAATTCAGGAAGCCTTTGAAACACACATCTCTTTCTGCTCCCTGCGGGCCAATTCTCTATCAGGTATCACTGGGGCTCTTGAGAGATATCCCTGATGGTCTGAAAGGCTTGAAAGCAGAGGAGCTTAGGAGAATCCCTGAGCATCCCAAAGACACTGGACACTGAGTCTATGCTCAGAGTCACTCCCAGAAGGCCACTCTCCAGGACTTGAGAATGAGTTCAGGATTCATGGATTCACTAACAAAACACATATCACGGACAAAAAAAATGTAATCAAGACTGGCCTCCAGTCTGCGTGCCTCCGAAGACTTCCTCACACAGCTTAGAATATGCGTGGTGTCATTTGTTTAATTAAGCAAGCCAAGCATCTTCTCCCCGTATGCCTTTCTGGGAGAAGAGCCAGGCTGGGTCTAATAAAGCTGGGTATCTTCCACACTGTGTCTTCACTGAGCTGACTTAGCTGGTTTTTATTATTGTCCAACATTCTCCTAGCAGAATGCCAGTGCCCTTATTAACATGGTCCAATCTGCAATGTCCAGACAGGCATTTCATAGGACAGTCACCAAGTCCATGCTACTGTTGGGCGAGCCCCTTCTCTGACTCCTGGGTAGAAGGGGTAGGTAGGCAATGGGAGCCTTCCTATGAGAGTTCACCATGGGGAATGATGGGAGCTTTCTGCTGGCAATGCTGAGTGCCAGAGAGAGAAGCACAGAAAGAACAGGATGACCAAACAGGGCAGGGCCATGAGGCCGCAGTGAGGTGAGGGGTTCCGATTATGCCCACGGACTAGAGGAGAAGCGAGCCACGTGCTGGATTTCTGGTGTGGGGCTGGATCTGAGGTGGACTCGGCTCACAGCCCACGGACACAGTGCACACAGTGGGACAACTGCTACTCAGGAAACCTAGGAAGGACAAAGATGTCACCTCCAGTTTGGTGGGGGGGGGGCGGGCAGACGGTAGGAGTACAGCATGCAAAGTGCCGGTGAGGGGACCTGAGAAGGTGGAGTGTCGGGAAGACCGGTGCAAACCAACAGAGCCACTGAGTGGAGGCTGAGTGAGTGACAGACACTGATCTCAGACACTGGACATGGCTTGAGCATGGATGAGACCTCAAAGCCCACCCCCACAGTGACACGCTTTCTCCAACAGGGCCACATCCACTCCAACAAGGCCACACCTCCTAAGAATGCCACTCCCTTTGGGGACCATTTTCTTTTAAATGACCACACACCGATACACATAAATAAATCTTTAAAAAAAATTAAAACCACAGCTCTAAACAATATAAGCCCGTGTCTACATGTAAGGGACAACATACATTTCTATAATATAACATTTAATGTACAATGAAGCAGTCTGAAGTTCATTATCCTTGGTTGTATAAAATAAACAAATAAAATATTGTATTGTTCTGGGTAGTTGTTAATACAGAAAGGAGCTTTTCCAGACATCAGGCAGGTAACATGGTTTTCACAATCTAGGACTGTCCAGGTAGCAAATGAGGCTCTTTGTAAGAATTGCTTTTTCTGACTCTAGATGAGTTGAGGACGTTCTTAAGAATAAATGGCCTAGGTTGTTTCCAGGTTCTGGCTACTACAAACAATGCTGCTATGAACATAGACTATGCATATGTATACACACACATGTGTACACACACACACACACATTCATCTGTGAGTGTGGGTAAAGTCCCGAAGTTTAGGAAGGGTCTTGAGAGGGTAAGAGCAGGAAATGAAGAAGGATGGGGTTCAGGCAGTACGCGTGGGACATGAAAGAAGACAGACAGCTAATGTTTTTCTAGTTTCACAGTGCATTTGTGATTTTAACTTTCTGTGCGTTGAAGCAGCAAGAACCATTTTGCATTTCAAAAGAATCCAGCATCTGTTATTCCTCTGAGCCTGAGTGTGGAAGCTAGGCTCCCTCTAATTCCGTTGACCGTTCATGAGAGGAGAATTAGACATGACTGGTCACACGGACCCAACTCAGTACAATGGTTTGTAAAAATTTGCTCTGGGGGAGGGGTTTTGTCACCTGTTTCTCTTTTTTTTTTCTTTTATTCAAAACTGTACCAATGCTATTATGTTATTTGACATATAAGTTGTACTATTATACGTAAAATACAGTTTTTAAAAATAAAGACACGTGGCTGGAGAGATAGTTCAGCTGTTACTGGCTCCTCTTCTAAGGGTCCTAGGTTTGATTCCTAGAACCCACATGGCAGCTGGCAGTCATCTGTAACCCATTCCAGAAGATCTGAGAGCAGCAGGCATACAAAACACTCATATACATAAAGTAAAATAATAAATTTTTAATGAGAAGTTGAAATGAAGATCCAGCTCTAGAAGGATCACACAGCTGCTCGGGGGCAGCCTCGGATGCTGAGTCGTCTCTTCCTCACAGCCCCTTCACCGCGGTTTCTTGTTGCCCCCTCAGGTTGGCTACCTTTGGTTCTGTGCAAACTACTTTTTTAAATATTTTAAACAAGCTGTGGTAATACATAAAAGTAGGACATGCTGAAGGGGCAGAGGCAGGAGGATCGCAAATTTGAGAACAACCTAGATGGGAAGATGGCTGTGAGCAAAGGGATCGGCCAAGCCTGGTCACGTGAGTTTGATATCCAGTAACTGCCTGGTGGAAGGGGAGGATTAGCTTCCACCATTGTCCTCTAACTCACCACACCAAAGGTAAGTGTGTAAGACACGTGCACGCACACACACACACACACGCGCACACACAAATAAGTCATAAATATAAAACATTTCTAAATTATTTTTAAGAATCTACAAAAATATTTTAATTAATGATTAAAAAATCCCTGAATGATAACACATATGGTGTGCCTCTTAGGTAAAGGGAGACAGGAAATCTGGGGGAGGGGTGTGCCTTCTGTCTCAGGGGTGTGCCTTCTGGAAGGGGTGGACCATGGTCCTTGTGAGGTACAAGGAAGCACTCACGAGAAACACCCATGAAAATAAAGTGGAAGAATGTGGAAACAAAATGTATAGAACCACTTCAACCAAAACAAATGACAGGAAAATACCATACATTTGATAGTATTTTAAAATAATTTATTCAAATATCACAATTTTATACCATAATGCTTATTTTACAGGTGATTTTTAATTCTTTTTACCATTGTTTTTTTTTTCTAGTGTCTCTTTTTTCTACACTTTTACAACAGAATTTATCAGAAGTTGAAAGAGAGAAACACATTCTTCCTACTATTCAGATATATATATCACATTAAACTTCGAGATTACATAACTTGTCTATCCGGAATTGAAGCTGCTGGGGGTGTGGGGGGTCACACTTATTAGTGGGTCCCAAGGTCCCTGAGGTCTAAATAGGAAAATATCCTGTTATAAACTGTAGCAAAATTCTCATCTCAAAATAAACCACTCTGGAATTTACAATGATATCCACATTCAACATCTGTACAGAATCCAAAAACTCACGGGGCGGGGGAGGGGGGGAGGGTTAGGAATGACAAAGGAAATGGCTTCACATTCAGTAAACAGAGCTCGAACCAGAAGGCAGACCCTGAACCCTGGTGGTGCAGAAGTCGGCTCCATCCAGTCCCTCACCGTCAGTCTCCCACCACTGAAAGCAGAGACTCTCACACCCCAGCAAATTCTAGGCCCAACTCTCTTCTTGTTGTTTTTAGAATTATCATTTGGACCAAGAAAGCTCCAGTCCTAGTAGGCTTCGCCATCACGCGAATGGAGCCCTGGGTTCTAACCCCACAGCAGGCTCCAGGTCGGTGGTGGAGAGGTTGACGGTGCCACTTGTGGACATGTGGTGTCCACTCACCCTCCCCATTGTGGGCACTCACACCGTTGTGAGCAAGTTTCTAGAACTTTCTAACTGCTGTGTGTTAGGCGCCTGATTTGCTACTTCTCAAATCCATTCAGGGTCAGGTCAGCCCAGCCTGCTGCTCTGCCTGGGATGGACAGCTTCACGTCTCTGTCATCTAGGCTTTCTTTCTAGACAATGCAAGTCATGTGACAGCCAAGATAATGTTTTCAAAACCAGAACTAGCCAGCTGATCTAATACCAAGGCAGACTGGAAAATCCCAACTGTGTCACGTCCCACAGAGTATACGCCCACCCCCAAACAGGACAGCAGCTCTGGGAGGCCGTGGGAGCTCTCCAGGGGGGTGCTCTTGGGTCTGGGCCCCTCACACAATTGACAGTCACCAAAGCCAGAGTTGACCCATACGCAACTGGGTTATTTGCTCTTAGCCACCTGGGACAGCACCATTTCCTAGTAGGACAGCCTGGGGTGTGGAAACTCCAGCCAAGCCAGGCTTCACACTGTTTGGGGACTCTGGGGAGACCCGCAGGCCTTGCAATCCACCTGAGTACACACCTCATACAGGCCGCAGAAACTCCCTGAGTGCCACCGCGAGCCTGCAGCTAGGACAGTTACATGCAGAGTTCCGGCCTCCAGCTTGCATTTTTAAGTGGATAACATGCACGGGACCCCATTAATATGACCTGCTGCTGAGGGCAGCCAGCGCACAACAGGGGTTCACCTTTCATTACAGTCTTACTTCAGGTTGGGGCAGGGCGTGAAAATTGTATGTGTAGCACCTGGCCTCCAGCAGCAACACCTGAAAACCAGCCAAACCGATCCAGCCAGACCAAAGCAGGCAGCATTCCCGATAGCACTGCTAAGTCTTTAAATAATAACAATCAATAAAATAAAGCCTCTAGAGAAATTTTCAGTCACGTATCGAAAATGTTAAGGAATAGACATGTGAAGTTGGGGGCTGAGGATTTAGCTCACTTGCCTAGCAAGCACAGGCCCTGGGTTTAGTTCTCAGCTCAAAAAAATAAAAAGTTAACATGTGAATTAAATAGCAAATAAATGAATAGCGGACTCGGGTTACACAGATGTGCAGAGTTGGCCAGGGTGACTAAGAAGTGCCTTTTCATTCTTTGTGGCAAACTCTACCCTCGCTCTGACAGCCCCAGTCATTCTTCTGTTGTGTGACTTTGTTGTTTCTTTAAGGATTCATCATGCTCAGCGTTCCCGCCTTCACGCTCTAGAAGCCGTGGTCCTCTACATTGTTGCCCGGCTTGAAGGGGCCAAGGGCTAGCAGCACAGATCAGAGCCCAGACAGTGACCAGCACTGGAGAACTCACGGGGAACCTGCTGGAATTTCCCAGTCGCTAGAAAAGCTCCCTCACCGTATGAGAGGAGGGAATTTATGGTAAGACACTGTCACTCTGGGGAGTAACTGTAGATGCTTCCAGACTCCTGGGGACTAGAGCCAGCCCCCTCCCCACAAGCCTCTATCTTGTTTATAACAGCCTCCCTGTCACTCCAGAGACCTGGTTCCAGCTGCTAGCTAGGCCGGAATGGCCACAGGCCTCTTGCCACACCCTCTCTGAGTCTATAAAACCCAGTTTCTAGCCCACATCATGAATCCTCCCTTTCCCAGTGTGTGAGATGAGTCTGGAAATCCAAAGCTGAGATGGAAAACACCTTGCCATTCTGACTTTTCCCTGGGGTATCAGGAGAGGCCCAGGAGCCTGGAAGGAGCTGAAGGAGGTGCAAAGTCTCTCCTGCCACCTACTGTCCTACTCCAGCACAGCAAGCACACTGCCCATGGGGGTCATTGATGGACCAAGGGTACAGTGTCCCTCATCCTTCCTTCCTGAGGCACCCTGTGAGCTCCCGTTCAATGACTGTGGCCATCTTATCCTAAAAGCAAGGGGAATAGACCAGGGGCTCAGAGAACAGCTCTGGGGGGTGGGTATGGATTGTCCATCTGGGCATCAGTCACCTCTGCCTACCTGGAGGCAACTGTTAACACAAGGGTCACAGCTAGAAGCAGCAGCTGAGAGACACAACTGTGGTGTCATACGCACAGCCATTCCTACCGCCGAGGTCCCCATAAATCTCCACGGAGGCAAGTCCCAAGATCTCCCTTAGAAACAACAGCTTTCACACTATCTTGGAAATATTTCTTTCATCCGGTTTAACCCTAATTGACTTCACCATCAAAAAGATTTAAACTACACTTCAACTTCTCACCTAACTATATTTATGTATAAATCCCTGAGAAGACACCTGTCCACTTGGAATTCACTATTTACAATTAATACACACAAGGCCAAGCAGGCCCCCAGGCCTGTGTCTCGACTCTGCCAAATCAGAAAAACAGAGCAGGTCTCCTTTCCAAAAGCAGAAGGCAGAGCCAATGTCCTGTTGTCACATCCCTGCCCTCTGTCCTCTCCTGGGGATCTAGAGGTCTCTGCTGATGTCCTGAAGCCACAGCCCTGCCCTCTGTCCTCTCCTGGGGATCTGGAGGTCTCTGCTGATGTCCTGAAGCCACAGCCCTGCCCTCTGTCCTCTCCTGGGGATCTGGAGGTCTCTGCTGATGTCCTGAAGCCACATCCCTGCCCTCTGTCCTCTCCTGGGGATCTAGAGGTCTCAGCCTCATAGTTCAGTGGGAAAAGCAAGGGCTTTCTCAAGAGCCTTTGTTTCCCTGCCTTTTTAGGTCAGACTGTCCTAGTTTATGGTGTTTCGGGGAAAGCTAGTGGGAGAGCTCTCGTTGCTCAATGCCTAACGGCACCAAGATTAAGTCAGTACCACCCTCCCCCTCCCTGCAGTGTAAGAAGGACCTCAGCAAAGGGCTTCCAAATCAGTCTGTAGTATTCTGAATCTATAGCTACCAAGTAGCTACATTAAATATCCAAATAAAGTGCACGTGTGACTGATAGAAGACTCTGCTGGGAATTTTTTAATGCTTTGGAGCTAAAAGAAAGAAAGGTATAGAAAGAAACCTTCCACTGAGAGGTTGGCACCCAAGGCAAATCCCATCCCGGCCTGAGTCCCCACATATTGGAAGGTCTACAAAGTTGGGGTGGGGATGAACTGAACATTGGGGCTCATCAAGGGGAAACTGTCACTCAAAACACACAAGGGACTCACTCCCTGGAGGAGAGGGCCAATCAGAGAGTAGACCACTACAGGAAAACCTTCCCCAACTGCTGTCTAGTATCCAGGGTGTTCCACCTGCCCTAAAAGTCATCTGTCTGCCCCTCAACAGTTTGCAGCACCCCCGCCCTCTGCATCTTGGACATAGTTAAGGATACCCACATTTGCTTCTTTCTGGGCATATATGATTGTGTTTCTACTGCTCGTTTGTTAAATCTGCCCCCTGCTAAGTAACTGTTCTCCTCAAATCACCTGGAAGATGGATGGTCTGTCTAGTCATGCTTCTTGCTTCAAATGAGTTTGGTCCCAGAAACACATGCACTTCTGCAATGGGCCATGGTCACTTTCAATGATATAAGTGATGATGATGATGATGACGACGATGATGATGATGGTCAGAACAAAAGGCTTAAGAAAGGAAACGAAAGGAAGAAGACTTCCTGAAATGAAGACTTCCATCTCACCTGGTCATTTTGAATAGAAGTCCGTGCCCTCATCAAGTAGAAGCAGGCATTTGGCATCACTCAAGTCGATAGGAAAAGCCACGTGTGTCCACGGGACACGAGAAGGCAAAAGCCAGAACCGAAGGGCGAAGGGGGAGAATGCCAGAGTTCTGTGTGATTCACACAATCATTACAAGTATTTATTGCTAGAGGCAGCATTTTAAACAAAGGGTCCCCAAACACAGGGATTAAAACTGCCATAATTACAAAGAGCCCATCACTTGTAAAATGCTGCCGTTTTTCATAAATAACAAAATACAAAAGTATGTGAAAATGCCCTTTGATAACTTAGGTTTTTTAATTCTTAATTGGGGTCCTCTAAGAGGTGACTTCTGGTAAACTGTCCTTTGGGTGTATAGACTGCTCAGAGAACTAGTTTTAAGCAGAAGCCATCCTGTCTTGGGAACAATGGGGAACCTGCTCCGTGGGTCTAGGAAAGAACGACCCAGAGGTTGTGTACTGCAGCAGAGAGGGGCACCCCTCCCTGTGGTGCCGTCTACACCACCCGCAGCCTCCCAGCTGGATCCCTGCGCTGCTCCCACACCAGGCACACGCGCAGAGGGTATCATGGCCCCTTCACGTCCTTTTCCTCCAACGTGGTGCCCGCTTTTCCTTCTGAGCCTCTGCCTGGCGTTTCTTCTCCGCCTCCTCTGCCTTCCTCTTCTCCTCCTTGGCCTCCTTGTACCGCCACTTAGGGATCTGCAGGTGTACACTGTCCTTGGTGTTGCCTTTTGGGGCTGGGCGCTCGGGCTGGAAGGTGGGTGCAGGGGCCTTGCTGATGCGCACCCTGGGAACCACCACTCCTGGCCGCACGCTGCTCCTCCGCAGCAACTGTAAGGGCAGGAGGCTGGCCTTCCGTGAGACAGGGGCAGGGGTGGGTCCTGGGGCCCCGGAGGACTGGGATGACCAGGGATTCACTCTGGGAGTCTCTAAAGTCTGGGATTGCAGTTCAGAGCCATCCTGAGCATAGGTGTCCGGGTTCCCCCTAGCTGCTAGGATTTCCTGCACTGCCAGGCGCCGTTTCCCCACACAGGGAGGGTTCTCCGGGCACACAGTCTGGCAGACGACAGCAATGGCGGGGCTATAAAGGCTTGTGGTCATCCTGACCATGTGATCAAGGACACCTCCATCCGCCAGACCCTGGCCTGAGCGGGAGGTCAGAGTGGACCGCAAGAACTCTGTGAATCTCTGAAAGCAGTTTTTGGAACGTGCTGGTTTCAAGAGCGCCTCAGCGGGAAGCGGCAATTCTGGCTTGTACTTGTCCCCAAACTGCTCTGGGCAGGGTCGCTCCATCAGCCTCTGCATGACACGAACAGCCTCCACTCGGCCAGTGTATGCAGCCCACTCCTGTGGTGACATCCCACGGCGGGGATCCCTCGCTTGAACATCCGCCCCTGAAAAACAAAACACACATTGCCCCAGTGGGTCAGGCAGCCAGGATGCGCTTCCACAGATGAAGAATGGTGGCAGAATCTGGAACAGTTATTCTGGTTAATTTTGCATTCTCTTGGCTAGGCCAGAGTAACTAGAGGTTTGACCAAATCCGGAGCTGGGCACAAGTCTGGAGAGATTGGACTCGGAGTCACAATGGTTACTTCCCAAACATGGTGGAGCCTCATCTGATCAGCTGCAGGGGGTAAAAAGCAACCAGAGCTTTTCCTGGGGCACTGGATCCTCCTGCACACCCCCTATCAATTTCAGACTCCCCAATCCCCACGATTACATAAGACAACTCTTTAGAATGAATCACTTATGTGCCCTGTCAACTGTTTCTTTAGAGACAACGGTCACTCCCTGGAAAATCTCTCTTCCATGCCCCCTTCCCCAAAAGACACTGCAGACTTAAACCCCAACTCAGCTGAGATCCGCATACATTCCAACTGCTGCCTACAGAAATGGATGCAGAACCACAACCAATGTCAGCTCAGCATAGTTAAAAATCATGCAGGAGTCCAAGTCCCATTACTCTCCGCCGGCAAAGCATCCAGAACTAGGGCAATTATCTAGTCTGTGAGCTCCCCAGGGACCCAGGCAGCGTCGGCACCTTCATTTAGATCTCCTACAGACCCACGTGTCTAACATGGTGGCTGATCAGTTGCTCTGAGTCAAGAGCTTGGGGCTCAGCCACCTCCCCACCCTGCAGGCCCACATCAGCCTCGTGGCTGGAAGACCACCTCCCTAGCTCACCTGCTAAAAGCCTTAGTCCCACCATACATTAAAGAATACCAGTCTTGGGAAAGTGGCAATTACTCGGAACTGGAATTCAGGAGGAACTCATTAGCTAGAGCACAATTTATAAACTAGGAAAATGGAAAGGGGGCAGTAAAAATGCCACTGCAAAAATAGATGACACATTAAACCTTAATTAATTGCATGTCACTTTAAAAGGGAACAAACTGCGAAATTAAAACTTTAATGAACACTGCATGAAAGAGACATTTTTCAAAGGCTAATGAAAAATGAAAGGAAATGCTGTCCGGAGCTTAGCCGTCTTCCTCCTACCTTTTAACATGATCAGAAAACAAACGCTGTAAATCAAGATGAGCCAGTTCTACTAGAGCAACCCCGGACCCTGAGTCACCAGGCTCCATGTTAGTGACCTGCTTCCTCGGGAAACTGCTGCTAAGGGTAACAGCAGCTAAACTATGAGTGATGATACAGCTGTCCCTGACCTCCACAAGGGACTGGACCCCAGACCCCCCACTGGATACCAAATTCTGAGGTGGCTCAGGTCCCACATATAAAATGGCACATTTGCATAGAACCTATGCACATCAGCCTATATACCGATACACTGAAACATCTTCTGATTACCCATAATCCTAACTCAATACAAATGTTATCTATCATTGCTACACTGTGTTTAGGGGATGGTAACAAAAGAGGTCTGACCAAAGTGTGTGTGTGTGTGTGTGTGTGTGTGTGTGTGTGTGTGTGTGTGTGTTCTATCACAGCCAGATGAACCCACAGATATAGACTCTAAGACGTGGAGCTGGAAGAATTGTTGCAGTACTGAGGATTGAACCTAGGACCTTGCACATACCAGGCAAATGCTCTATCAACCTAAAAGATGATTCACACTTTACAATTGATACCTTTTTCAAAGAGTAACAGGAACTTGGGAAATGCTGCTGGACCCATCTCCTTACAGTGGCTCACCTGAGTTCCACTCCTAGCCAGCATCATTTCACCCACTGAACAAAACTGGAGACATGACTTGGGCTCTCACTCTGGTGGCTACTGGCTGCTATGCTCTATGCTGTAAGTTACCTGTACAAAATGCTCTACTACACTCAAAGCATTATACTCAAATATACTCACAACATCATGATTGGTCTAACCTAGGCTTGCTCAATGTTGAAAGTACTGGAAATTTTGGCCAGTTACTTCTTTGTTATGGGGTTAGCCTGCGCACTGTGGGAACTCTAATAACACCTCTGCTCTCTGACTAAAGGATGCCAGTAGCAGCCCAGTTGCTGTGACAGTCAAACTCTTCTTTGGCCATTGCCACATATCTCCTAGGAGACAACGTTGCCCATCTCAGAATCACCGGTCCAGCCTAAGGACTATGGTCCTGTTTCCCAGCCAGCCATCCTCCTGTGGCCCAGTACCCAGGAGTGATCAGTAAGCCTTAATGAGTTTTTTGCCTCCTGCTGCTGTTGATTTTTTACCTGAAACAGACCAGGAGCCCAGAGGTCTGGTGACTCCCACAGAAACAAGGTGTCAAATGGGGCTGGCAAGATGGTAGGGTGGATAAAGTGTTTTACCACATGATCATGAAGACCTGAATGGATTCCCAGCCCATGTAAAAAGCCAGGCACTGGGCATGTTGGAGAGCACCTAGAATCCCAGTGCTGGGGAGGCAGAGACAGGGGGATCCCTGGAGCTCATGACTAATCAAGCTAAATCAGAGAGCTCCAAGTTCAGCAAGAAACCAAGCTCAAAAAGCAAGGTGGAGAGCAAAAGAAGACACTAAACACCAACCTCTTACCTCCACACAATTCACATGTATGCACATCCATGCACCAGTGCACACACACGTGAACACACACACCAATGTGCACACATCGTGAACACACACACCAGTGTACACATGCATGAACACATACACCAACGTACACACATACATACATACACACATGTATGACAAGACTAAGGAGAACTGGTAGACAAAAGAAAAGAAGCAGGGTCTGTGATGTCATGGAACCCAGGTCAACCCTGGGTAGGATCTGCTGACCCATGGCTTCTACTGAGCTGAGAGAAACCGATATCTGCCTTCTTTAAATCATTCCCAGGATGGGATATTTTGTTACTGGGACCATCAAAAGCAAGCACTATGGAGAACAGATGGGCCTTCTATCGCTAAGTCTCAGGAACACTCTCCCCTGGGAGGCATGAAGACCCAGGCCCAGAGGGCCAATGAGAGGGAGATGGAGCAGGAAGCAGGAATGTGCCACTTCCTCTTTCCTTTTCTGTCCCAGTAGCTATCCTCCATGTTATCTGTCCTACAAAACCCAGCTGAGGCCTCCCTCCTGGCTCTGCAGACCAGTCCTTGACATCATTGCCAAAGCGCCTGCTCTAACCTATAACTTAGGCCCTGAAAGTCCAGTCAATTGTGACGCAAGGGCCACCTTCAAACACGGGGATGGCAAGTCTCCCGTGACACTCAGCAAGTGGGGACCCGGCACTATCAGGAGATCAGCCGGAGGATACACCGCACAGCTTCCCCGGGCCTTCAGCTGTCATTCCTGGGGGGTCAGAGCCTCTCAGAGTCCAGGCTGCCATCCAGTGGCCCACAAGGGGACCATCGCTCTCGCCTCCCTCCCCTCCCTCCCCACAGTTGCCTCTTCCTAAGGTCACATTCTCCAAAAACTACCAATGCAGAGTCCCTGCTAGTGGGCACCTTCCAGGCTCATAACTTGAACAGAAAATGTCTGTCTTCCATAAACTGAAAGCAACTTCTGTGTTGACACAAATCGCCTGGTTTTTGAGAAACAAGCCACGAGGGTTTGTCTAAGAGGGAAGCACACACACACAAGGACTATTGTCCGCAGTATGCTCCTCACCTCCCTTTCCATCTGTTTGGTTCCCAAGAACCACAGGGGGATGCTAGGCTTCACATTCTTCCTCCGAGGCTGCAGCAATTACATCACACTTCAGGAATAAAGTGAACTCTGTTAAGCGGGTCTGGAGCCTGGCAACCTCCATCGGGGGAAGGAATCACATCGTTGACACAGCTCCTTGGAGCCACTTACAGAAATAGACCTGTCACTTCGATGCATTAATATTCCAGCGGGTTAACAAGGTGCCGCATGTCCCTTTCGATGCTTATCAGAATGGCTGACATTATCAGGAAGCCTGTCCAAAACAGCCACCCGGTCGGTTTGCAGAATTGGCTGCATCTGTCATTAAATTCAGAGTTCCGATAATCCCAACATTATTTTATCCTACCTGACAATGCAGATAAGGGCTGCCGTGTGCCTGTGTGTTGTCGACTGTGGAGAAAGCTAAAGGGTTTAGGAGGTCAGCCAATTCAATCATTCATCATTCTAGGAGAAGTGGTTACAACTGAACGTGATAAAATTGCAAGCCAGAAACTCAAATCTGGTGATAAAAGCACTCAGGAACCAAAAAATCCTGCATTCTAAAAAAAAAAATAGAATGAGATACATGTGTTTTACATTAGTATGTAGTATTGTACGTGCCTTTTAAAAAAATCATAGGCTGATTCTGTAGTCTGCGTCTGAGTCACTGTCCTCCGCTGTACTTAAAGGCATTCTACGCACAGCCAACTGGTACCCAGGAATATCTCCATTTTCCTAATACTACTGTACTTAAATGGTAATAAGAAATCAAAATAGTGGCGAGTATTTGAAAATATCCCAGCAGGCATCCTTACCGCTGTCTAACAAACCCAGGGAGGCCATCCGCTCGCACACTGGTTTCCTTTAAAATACATCTCCTCTAAAAGGAAAGCTCAGCTCAGCTCAGCTTCCTGATAATTATAAGCTAAGACAGGTGCGAACTGGAACATTCCAGAGGCTAAGCGCTCCCCTTCAGGAGCACCCTAAGGGAGGTGGACTCCAGAGTGAGCGGGCCAAGGAGGAGGACAGCGTCCAAGGACAGGAAGGTCTCTTTTTTTTTTTTTTTAATTTATCATATCCCACTTTAGTTAATTGTATCTGTGGCTCTTTGTGGGAGACAACCACATCCCTGGGGGGTCATCTGGCAATATTCGTAAGCATTTTTGGGGTGTCCCAGCTGGAGGGTGCTCCAGTCATCTGGTAAATGGAAGCCCTACACTGGCAAGATGGGCCCCACAAGGACTGAGCTGTTCCATGTGTCACTGGTGTCAAGACGTTACGTTCTTCTTAGCACGGACACCTCATCCCAGGATGATTTTCAAAGAGAAAACTATGCTCTGTTTTTCATTCATTCACAAGCAACTCCTGATTGTGTAAATGTACCAACAATGAAAGCTGATTGTACCCAGCATGTATTACAGCTTCCTCCAAGCTAGGCACCCTGTCCTCATGTGAACAAAATCCCACCTACAACTTCCTGTGATGCGGCTGCCATCAGGCCTCTGTCATCGGCTAAGGCCAGGAGAGGTAGGAGACAGGTCCACGCGCAGGTAAGCAGCAGGCTGCACAGGAAGCTGCACTCCTGGGCTCTGGGCTCGTTTCTGCTGTGCTGGACACAATGCCGCCAACAGCGAGCGAGGTGCACTCCTGACAATTATTCTAGACTTCAGTGGAGGGGAGAAGCTCACGGTGGTTGTGGAGATCAATGGGGAAGAGTTAAGTTTAGAGACCTTATGTCAAATCTGTAAGCAAACAGCAGGCAGGGGTGGAAAGAGCAATGTTAACATCAAGCCTGAAATGGCCTCATCTTCCAGAGGCTGTGGAAGGCGTTTCTGAGAAACTTTAAAGGCTGCAGCTGAGCCTGAAACTGCAGGACAGCTAAGAAGAAATGACAGGAATAGTGAGTGACTTTACTTCCTGACAAAAGAGAATTGATAGTCCATATTAATTAATTGGGGGAAATGCACTTGATGAGATTGACACCCTAACTTTTGGGCTGAAGAACATAAAATCATTAAAGATCTCCATCTAGCTATAACTAGATCTTGACCCAGTGAAAACGGACAAAGCTTTCTTCCAGCACAATAGCCTCAGATAATCACCATTTAATTAGAAATGACTACTTCTCGTTGAAATGGGACAGGAGGACCCTACCTCTGCTGACCCTGATATCTAGCTTTTAAAAATTAAACTCAGTTGAACAAAAGGCACAGTCGGTGGGATTCATTTTAAAATACCCTTTAACATGGATGTATTTATCAAATGTGTATATGCACATACATGCACACATGCCAAGCTTGCATGTGGACGTCAAAGAACAACTTGCAGGAACTGGTTCTCTTCCACCATATGGGTCCTAGGATCTAATCAGTCCCAGGAGTCAATCCTAATTATGATTTTTTTTTTCCAAGAGCATTTTCTATCTTCTAAGCTTCTTTTGTTGTTCATTAAATCTGGGGTGTTTTTCTTGAAGTATTTTCTAAGACATAGATTAAAGCAGGAGGAAAGAAAATCCAAGGTTGTGAGGCCCACAACTGCAGGCTAAGCACAAGGATGAGGTGGAAAGATGCTGTACAATGCACAACAACTGGCAAAGACCGGATGGAACAGAGGACACGAGGCCCGCATGTGCGAGCCAGCCAGCCAGGGACACAGAACAGAAATAGGGCGTTCATGGGAAGGACCAATGTCTAGACCATTGTCACCACCCTTGGGTAACTAGGATCAGAGGAGACTTGTGATCTGACCTTGGTGTCCTCAAAAGCTCTCAGGCTGGGACTTTGTACCCACTGTGAAGGTGTTAAGAGCTGGGAACGTCAGGACATTTCCTGTTCTGAGAGTGAGGGCCCACAAGCGGGATCCGTGCCCTTTGGAAAGAATCTTATGGGGGACAGCTTGACCCTGCTATGTGAAGACACAAGGACTGGATTCCTCGCAGACATCAAATCTGCTGGTGCCTTGATGTCAGGCTTCCCAGCCTCTAGAACTGAGAACAGCACATGGATACTGTTAATAAGCCCCGGCTCTTCAGGACCGGCTACACCCGGTGCAGAAAACAAAGATTATTTAAAACAACCACATTAAGTAACAGCAGCACCCTCTGCGGTGTTAGATGTTGGTTCTGAACCCACTATTATATTTGGGCTTTACGTTCCTTTTTTTCCTCAATTAATTCTCAATGACACCTGCTTGTGTTGACCTGCCATGATCTTTTTCAGGTTCAAGTCAGGAGCAGGGCTGAAGAGATCAGGCATAAGGACTTTCACATGGCGGGTTTATCAAGCGTCTACGAAGTGCTATCATATTCTGTCTCAGGGAGAAGGGAGAGAAAGATGAGGGCAGGGAAGTCTTCGGGGAGTCAAGGACAGGTGGCGTAAGGGTACATTCTTGCTGATCCAGCTTATGGCCTAAGGATAGCCCCATGGAGGTTCTGCAGGAGCAGCCCCTCCCAACCCGTCCCCACCACTTGGGTCATCTTCCTTGGGACACAGGTGAGGCCAGAAGGAACATTTCTTTCTATGTACACGCGTGTTCCGGTGCATACACACACATGCACATAAGGAGGTATGCACGTGGAGGCCCAATGGACGTCAGGAATCCGCATCCTGGAGCACCTCCGTTCAGCTAGTCTAGTGAGCCAGCTTGTTCCTGAGATTCCCTTCCTGTCTTCATCTCCCCAGTGTGGAATCCCAATCCCAGTGCTCAGGCACATGGCGCATCGCTCTACCCACTGAGCTATCCGCCCAGCCCCCAGAATATCCACTCTCAAGGAATAAACCTGAGCACAGTTAGAGAGCCAATAGGCAGACTGGGGAGGGAAGATTTCAGCAGGGAGCGGGGGGGGGGGGGGGGGGGGGGGGGGGGGGGGGGGGGGGGGGGGGGGGGGGGGGTTTCAGGAAATGGCCAGGGCTATGGTCAGCCCTCATTGGCCAGCCCTGACATCATTTACTTTGGACTACTCTTCTGTCGCTGTTTCTGTGAGGTCTATTTAAGACGCATTCTTTCAAGGAGCTCCCTTGGTGCATCACAAGCCTAGAGACCGCACTGGACAGGCGGACCTTACCTGCCAACATCAGGGCTCGCACACATTCCGTTCGGCCCTGCATGGCCGCTTTCATGAGGGCTGTGAAGCCGAATATGTTCCGCCTCTCTAGGTCCAGACCAGGGTAATAATTCAGCAAGTAGTTGGTGATGGTGGCATGCCCTGAAAAAGAATTAGACACGCATGTAGATCCCCTCGCACAGGACAATGTATACTGCAGGCCGCTGTCACACTGTGCAAACTCAATCCTTGGAGTGGGCCCGTTACCAACTTAAAGTTAAAACAAACAAGCACATAAACCAGAGTTCTGATTCTTAGGAAGCTGGGCTACAGCTTACCACCAAGCTCAGCCACAGGGTGAAACAGTGGGTCACCACCTTGCTGACGTAACAAAGCCAACAAGACCCAGGCTGTGGCTCCAGCCTACCTAGCACACAGGTTCCAACTTGGGATGGTGCTTTTAGTCACTTGGCCTCCTCTGTGCAAGGGGGTCAGGATGAAGCTGGGGTCACGAGACCACAGTAACGCAATGGCTCTAAAGTCGGTGGAGTAGCAGACGACCTTCGATCTCATTAGCTTGTGTCCCGCGTGAACTCTTGTCACACAACAGTCGGACTTAGACCGGTCTCAGTGAAACGAATTGCCATTTGTTTTGGTCTTTTTCTATCAAAGCGTGACACTGTGCGTCAGTCACAATTTGCAGCAGGTGCTGTTTGTGTACACACACACACACACACACACACACACACACCCTTGGCAACTTGAATGGGCAGGGAGAAGAAAACAAAATCTAGAGCCAACTGCCCATTGTACGGATATTTTATGTATATTGTGTTAAGGTCAGAAAATCCAACATGGGGAGCAGCTCTGACTGCAGTCTGGAGCTCTGATGGCCCAAGAGTCACTCCCCTGCCCCAGGCTTTTCCAGAAGAGAGAACAGCACCTCTGCCACTCCGATGGCTGTGTTCAGTAGAAACTAAAGATGGGCCTGGCGCTTCCCAGACAGCATAAACATTAACTGTTCCTCCGTCTTGAAAGTCAGGGCAAGTAGATACGGAGGCGTGGGAGAGGTGCTGCTTTAATCCCCCAGGAAGACCTGACAAGCAAAGAACAAGTGAGGTGTGTGTGTGTTTGTGTGTGCGCTCATGTATGCACGTGTATTTATATTAAACACATAGTTTACACTGAAACCTGGCTTGTCTAACCCAACTCATACATTACAGGAGTTGGTTCCATCTCAAGAGCAGGCTCGCCACAGAGACTCCCTACCTCCCCACAGTGAACCTCACCCTGCCCATGAAAAGGGGACAAGTGGTGCCCAACATAACTGTGAGGTCACCACTATACTCAAGGAAGCTTGCAGGCAGGGGTGGCACACACCTTTATTCCCAAAACTCTGGAAGCAGAGGCAAGGTGGATCACTGAGAGTTCGAGGCCAGCCTACAAGGGCTAGTTCCAGGACAGTCACCAAAGCTACACAGAGAAACCCTGTCTCGAAATATAAACAAACACACAAAACAAAACAAAACAAAAAAAAAAACAGGCAATTTTTTGTAGAGCTCAATAAAAATCAATAAAAAAGAAAAGAAAAGGGAAAAAAAAAGCTTGCTCTAAAACAAAGACACCCCGAACTACACGAGATCATCTAAAAAAGAAACAGAGCCAGGCAGTGGTGTTGGCTCACTTTTAATCCCAATACTTGGGATCACATGCCTTTAATCCCAGCAGTAGAAAGGTAGAGACAGGAGTGATAAAGGCTGGGTGGAGAGAGGAATGTAGGATGGGAGGAGACAGGAGCTCAGATGCAGTCTGAGGACACGATGGCCCCTTTGGTCTGAGCACTGGTAGAGGTAAGAACTGGTGGCTGACCGCTCTGCTTCTCTGTTCCTTCAGCTTTCACCCCTACATCTGACTCTGGGATTTTAATATAAAGACCAATTAGGACTCATGCAGCATTCACCTGGTACTGGCACCCCTCAAACTCTGTCAGAATCCTCCTGACAGCTCTCCAGCGACCCCTTGTGGTCCGTTCTGATACTTGACACACACACACACACACACACACACACACCCAGCACTGACCACTGCCCCCTCCCTCATTCACGGAACTGTCTCCCATGAGTACTCCAGGATCTCCCTCTGACCTCTCTGCTCTTCCTGCTCCTGAGACGATGGAGAGGCCCTCTCCTCATCCACACGGTCCTGCCATCAGCCCCACGCTCCGTGCACTCGGTTATTATCCCCAAATCTCCAACTCGCCCACATCTACTTCTGTCCTTTCTTAGTTTCGCACCTAAATATCTGTCTACCGGATATTTATCCTGGGTGTCCCACGTCTAAGCCAAACCCGTTGCATCACATCCCAAACACCTTCCCTCCCGGCCCACTCCTCTCCCGCAGCACGCCTTCCGTGATGGATAGCACTAGATATCTAAGCCAGGAGTCTGGGCTTCAATCCCAAACCTTCCCCATCTCCCACGTGCCACCAGTCAGCAATTCTGCCAATCCCCCCCTCTTCCCTGTCTCCCAACATGTCCCATCCTAGCTTCTCTGTGCCCGTGTCTACCCACTGATCTGGGCTACACTCTTTCCTCTGTCTGCAGCCACTCCTCTGACTGGCCGGCCTGGCTTCCCTGCCGCCCCTCCTCCACCTATAGCACGTGCGGTCCAGGAAGAAGCCTCTCTGACCACAGTAGCCACTCAGAACCCTCGGAGGCTTGTGCCCCTCGGACAACAGTTCACCTCTGTGGTGAGCATCTCTTCTTCACCCTCTGTCCCCCAACCGCAGCCCCCCTTCCCCGCCCGGTGACCTCGCAGATCTCCTTTGTGTTATGGCTTGGGTTCTTTCCCAAGCTTTTTTACACACACACACGTGTGCACACACTCAGGTGCTGCATTGAGCACACTCTCCTCATACTTCTACTCTCACTTCCCCCACCCCTCCCCCATTCTGTTAGCTCCCTTTGTTCCCTTAAGAGCACTGGTTCCCAACCTTCCTGAAGCTGCGACCCTCATGTCGTGCTAACTGACCCCCCAACCGTAATATTATTCTATTGCTTACTTCATAACTGCACATCTGTTACTGTTATAGACGTGTAACGTGATTACCCATTAGCAGGATCCCTGATAGTCGACCCCTGTGAGGTCTCGACCCCCAAGTTGAGAACCGCTGTTGTTTATTTCTGCTTTGGTGCTGTGGGTGTGTGCATGGCCGTGTAGCTGCTATGCAGAACAAGGAGTCACGACTGAGAAATGCATACGAGATTTGTCTTTCTGGAAATTTGACTCCGGTCGTATCCATTTTCCTACAAAAATATAACTTCCTCTTTATGGCTGAAAAAAGTCTATTATGTACATATACCGCGTTTCTTTATACAGCCCAGTTGCTAGATGCCTGGGTTTGGTGTACAACTTCGCTACTGTGAATAGTGGAACCATGGATGCTGATATACAAGCATCTCTGGGTGTCTACAGCTCCTCTGCTAAGCCCTCAGGAACTCTCTAACCTGTTGTCTCTGTATACGCCCCCCCCCACACACACACACAACACCCAGCCTCCCTTCGCCTGGCTACCTGCTGGACCATCCTTCCCAACACTCCTTCTGCCCTGGGTTTGCAACAGGACTTGAACTCACTGGTGTCAAGGTGAGCCACAGCCCTCCAACTGGCTGCAAACTCCAGGCTCAGTGAGTATCTATCCAAGAAGGTCAGAACATGCCCACTTCTCCCTCGGGAGGCGCTCCCTTGTCAGACACTTCATGGTCATCAAGCCACGAGCCCCATCATTTAAGATTAAATGGCCACCACCATAATTAATCACCGTCTCATTCAACATTGTCACAAGCACCAATTGTGGCTGAGTCTTGCTGTCACTAAGAACAGGGGCAGGTGAAAAATGTCTTCCTTTATTCAAGGCTGCTTTCGAAAAGGAAAAGGCTGTTAGAGAGTCTGGGTGGTGCGTCGTCTTGTCTGGTTTGACTCACTGTAGTTCTCCACAGCAAGCCAGTAGAGGGAGCTGTTGGCTTTGGAAACGCAGCCTCCTAGCCGGACAGGGATTCCCTGGGAACCCCTACCATAAACGGGGAGATACCAGAGCTGGGGCAGCAGGGGCTGGAGGAAGACAAGCCTCCTGTCCCGAATGTTTTCCAAGGTACAAGAGGAGAGCAGCGTAGCTGGGACTGCTATGCCTGACTGCCCTCGGGCACAGGGACAGTGTGCCACGGGTATGAAAGCTGGGTTTACAGGAAGCGGCAGGGCAGGGCTAGGAAAGCAAAGGCTTGCCAAAATTCTAATCTGTTCTTTAAAACAATAGAAGAGAGAAAGAGTAGAGAGGAAGGAGGTAAAACAAGACCCTGACGACTGGAGGTGATAGGAGGATTATTTTAAAAGGAAGGGCTAGCCTGTATTCACACGCTTGCACGCACGAACACACATAGACACACCATTTAAAAATAAAAGGAGGCCTGGAGGGATGGCTCAGCCGTTAAAGGCTAGGCTCACAACCAAAAATATAAGAGTTCGGTTCCCAGCACCCACAGCTGTCCCTCCAGGTACAAAAAAAAAAAAAAAAAAAAAGATACTTGGAAATTCTCAAGTGTTTTAGGTATCCAGTTGTATGGCAAGAAATGGGGATGAAAACCAGGTGCATGTCACAGTGTCAGCAATCTCTGGTCCTGCTGTGGTGGGAGGAAGGCAAGCAGGGCTGTGTCAGGCTCATGGCTCCATTTTATAGAGATAATCCCTGCTCTGTGAGTGAGAAAACAGACCAGGGTAGGGAAAGACTTGGCAAATACCTAGTCCCTTCCCCTTGACCACCCTTGCTTCTAGGACTCCACCCATGGGCCGTGGTGGACAGACAGGGACAGAGCAAGAGCGGACAGAGAAGTGGATGGAGGGAGGGTGAGGAGATGACGGTGGGTACATNAAAAAAAAAAAAAAAAAAAAAAAAAAAAAGAAAAAATAATAATAAAAGGAAATCTGCTTTTTAAATGGGGCTGGAAAGATGCTGGATGATCAAGAGTATGTACTGCTCTTGTAGAGGCTCCAGGGTTGGTCCCAAGCTCCTGTATCGAGTGGTTCTCAATCACTGTAACTCCAGTTCCAGGGAAATATAATGTGTGTCTCTGGCCTCCATGGGTACCTGGACTTGTAAGCACATTATTACACACACACACAATTTAAAAATAAACCTGTTTTACAAATGAAGCGTCTGGCACAGTGGAACAAGCCTGAAGTTTTGCTAGGACAGTTGTTAAGTCGAAGGTCAGCTGGGGCAATGTAGTGGGACCATGTCTCAAAGGAACAAGAGGGCTGTGGACATGGCTCAGTGACCTCCAGCTGTTCCTCAGTTCTCCCCTCCTAAGGGCATGGGGAGCTGGAGAAACAGCTCCGTGTTAAGAGAACTCTGCTCTCCAGAAAACCTAAGTTTGGCCCCCAGCACCCACATCAGGCAGCTCTCAAAGGCCACCATGCCACTTGGTCATTTCTTTTCTATGGCTGTGGTAAAATGCCCTGACAAAAGGAAATTTGGGGGGGGGGGGAGTGTTTATTCAGCTGACAATTCCGGGTCACAAACCATCACTGAGGGGAAACTGAGGCAGGAATTCAAGCAGCTAGTCACATCACACCCACAGTCAAGAGCACAAAGTTAGAGCCATCTGAGAGGAGGGAAGCTCCCTTCCATGGCCTCTGCATCAGCTCCTGCCTCCAGGTTCCTACCCTGTTTGAGTTCCTGTCCTGACTTCTTTCTGTGATGAACAGTGTTGTGGAAGTGTAGGCCAAAGAAACCCTTTCCTCCCCAAGTTGTTTTGGCCGTGGTATTTCAACACAGCAATGGCAACCCTAAGACACCACCCAAGCTCCCCACACCCCTTCAGAATGCAGAGGCCTCTTCCTCCTGGCTTAGCCACAGGCGGCTGTGTTACTCGCCGCTAAGAACATGACTGATGAAACAGACGGTCATTCTTGCTCCCTGTGAGGACAGGACCAGGACCCTTGTGGATACCAAAGCCCTCAGGTTCTCAAGGCTGGAGAGATGGCTCCCAGGTTATGAGCACTTACTGCTCTTCCAGAGGACAAAGGTTTTGTTTTTCAGCACCCACATGGTGGCTCATGACCAACAGTAATTCCAGTCCCAAGGGATCTACCGCCCTCTTCTGGCCTCTATGGGTACTGCATGAGTGTGGTACACAGACATTCAAGCAGGCAAAATGCACATAAAGTTAAATAATTTTTACATTTTTTAAAAGAGTATTGTATTGGCATGTAACCTGCACAGTCCTCTTGTGTGCTTGAAAACATCTCCCACATTAGCTACAGAAACAAATGCAGCATCAATATGACATAAATATGTTACGCTGTATTTTAAGCCCATAACAAGGAAAGCCGTCCGTATGCGCTTAGTGCTGACATACTATTTTTATTTGCGTGGGGTTTGTTATGGCTGCTGTTTGTTTCACTCAGGACCAAATCCAGGGCCTTATATTTGGTTAGCAAGTGCTTTATCACTAAGCTATCTATAGCCCCTGCTCTAGATCCAGTTAAAACAATGTGTTGTCTATCCATGTTGAATCTGCAGATAGGAAACCTCGAAATACAAAGGGCTGACTATGATCTATAGAAGCTAAAAATGTAGGGAAAGATCAGTTGCACAACTGTTTGAGACTGTGTAAGCATTTATGTTAAAGTGATTGAATGGAATATATAATATAATATATATTATTATATTATCTATAACTTATAAATTTTTTATTTATTTTCTTATTTAGGTATTTGAAAACAGGGCCTCACATATTCCAAGCTGGTCTCGAACTCCAAATACACCAAGGATGACCTTGTGGTCCTAAGCTTCGCCCCATGGCACGCATCTCCTGAGTGCTGGCGTCACTGATAAGCACAGCTGAGCCCTGGCTTGGGGCAGCGCTAGGGATGGAGCGCAGGGCATTGAGCCTGCTAGGCGAGCATTCTACCAACTGAGCGACGTCCCCGCCCCCTGAATGCAGTGCAAGCCAACCCACGGGAGCCGCAGTGCATTAGGTCATGGTGCAGACGACCGTGACATGTACTTGGAACCACATTCACACGATTCTAATTTCGTCTCACTCTGGCACCTGAATTCTCTGAAGCTCAGAGAGCTGTCCCTGGCGCTTCTTTATAGGTGAAGGGTAAGGTCACCTTCTCACTGGACCCAATTACATAACTGTCCGTAAAGCACGTGACTACGACTCCTGCCCGCCGGTGCCATGCCACCCGGTCTTGGAGGGTGTCGGTGCTCTGAGTGGCAGGCAAACCTGCCTTCTGGAGTGTGGTGAAGATGTTGGCTGGGGGAAGCTCCATTCTGAATCCTCCCTGAGTGGGTAAACATGTTATTCCAGAAGCGCGGGGAGAATGGGTGCCCCCCCCCCCCTGGCGCCTGCAGCGAGCAGATCCGTTTCCATCTCTCAGGAGCTATGGGTGCCAACACTGCCCGGCGGCAGCCCCCCAGGGAGATGAAGGCCGGCTCTTACCTGCCTGTGCAGCCGTGATGAGGGCTGTGTTCCCTTCGCTGTCCTGCCAGTTGACGTCGACGTGGGGGCACTCCGCTAGGGCCACCACAGTGTCCACGAAGCCGTGGTAGCACGCAACAATAAGGCCAGTCTAGAAAGGAAGAGGGGACGTGGGTCAGAGGCACACAGCCCAGGCATCACCAGTGAGCTCTGGGGACCCTGACGGGAAGAGCTGTCCCCACCCCCACCCCCGAAGCTGGAAAAGAGGCAGCAAGGACCTCAAGTCACCAGTTCTCAACGTTTTCAACTTTTAGGTCAACCATTTATCCGCAAACGAGCAGAGACCATCACCATGAGGCACAAGGTGTAGGGACATCAATGAACGGCTAGATCTCTGCTCTCAGGAGTGCTTCCCTCTGATGGGAAAGAAAGCGTACACACTACCGGCTTCATGTGAGTTAACAGCTGTGTGAAACAAGACGGGATGTGGGTGCATGGCAGGATCTAGGGGTGCAGCAGACTCACAGGGAGTATCTGGACCCAGTTTTGAAGAAGGCAAGGGAACACATGCCCCTGGAACAAGGATAGGAAGCAACTTAGTCAGAAAAACAGCAGAAGCAAAGCCAGACCTGGGCAGGTCCATCAGAGCATCCCCAGGTGGCCCAGAGGCTGGGGCAGCATGAACTGAGAGAGGGGTACCCAAGCCCACTGGGCAGCCAAGAGCCCTGCCACACTTTAGACAGTCGGTGGTCAATCTTCTGCATTAACTCTGAGTGCTGGGCAGAAATTGGCCTCAGGAGACCAGAGAAGCATGTACTATAGAAGCTGAGCAGGTGACAGTGGCCCAAGCTGGAAATATGTATGGATTCTCTATTGTGAAGAGAGATTTTCTGTTAGAATAGACAGGGTGTGTGAGAGGACACAGAACCAAGATGATGCCAAAGTCTCATCCTAAACAATTGGGTGTCCACTGTCAAGTCAGGAGGAGGCTCTAGGGAGAGCAGGTATTTTAAAAGGCAGCCGTGCACACCACAGCACACAGCATCTAAGAGGAAGGCACTGTGGGGCACCAGGAGAGGTCCATGCATGCTGATGGCTGATTTGGGAAATTACTGATGAAATATTTGTCAATTATCAAGAATATACAAGCCAGAGGGTGGTGGCACAAGCCTTGAATCCCAGCAGTTGGGAGGTAGAGGCAGGCAGATCTCTGAGTTTGAGGCCAGCCTGTTCTACAGAGTTAGTCCCAGGACAATCAGGATTATACAGAAGAACACTGTCTCCGTAACAGTAAAAACCTTCAACATTGCCAGAGGAGTGCAAACTACTGAAGTCACTATGGAAATTGGTGCAAAAGCTCCTCACAAAATCTGAAAACAGAGATGCCGACCGACTCAGTTATACCTCTCCTGAGCACATGCCCCAGGGACTCAAGGTCAGCACTTGGCAAAAATCTCTGCACAGCCATGTCACGCAGTGCTATTTGTGGTGACCGGGACAAGGACTCCATTTTTGTGGCTCAGCGATATTCTCTTATGTGTCTGAGGAATTACAAAACCAAGGCTAGTTAGCTTCATCTGTAGATCAAGTCAGAAGTAGAACTAGGGAAGTGGGGATTCCATGCAGCCCTTTGAAAACACGTAAGAGAAATATCCAGGCATGACATCTCACACACACACACACACACACACACACACACACACACACACACACACACACACTTTTGAGAAATGTATTGGGTAGATAACTCAAGAAAGTACAAACCAAGGCTTTACTGGAGGGCGGGTACCATAGACAGATGGCTTGTGTCTTCTTTCCGGTCTCCTACAGACTCCTAACCCACCGTGGGATAGCATTAGAGGGTAGACCTATCGTGGGGACAGCACTAGTGTGAATGGAATTGGTGCCCCCAGAACAGGGACCTCAGACAACTCTCTGGATCCTTCCCCAGCATTCAAGGACATAGAAACAAGGTGGCAATCTGAGACCTGAAGAGGCCCTCATCAGAACAGAGCCCCCCAAAACCCTGACCTCTGGCCTCCACAGCCTATAAAACTGCAAAGGAAAGAAACTTCCATTATTCATAAGTCACAGTCCACAGTGTTTTGTTACAGCAACCTCAGCTGACCAACACACGTCTAATAGTCAAGACATGGGGTTACCGTCTCTGACACCCAGATTACTAGTCCCCTAATATGGGCTCTCAGGAGCCAGACTTGATTACTGCTCTTTCAGCCCAGCCAATGCATGTTCTGCTGCATGGAGGTTGCCAAGTTGAAGTTCAGAGCAATCCCACGGTGACTGGGCACTGTTACAACCAGATTGTCAATCAAAATGTGACTTATGAGTTGGGCATGGGGGCATATTGCTGTATCTCAGCATTCAGGGGGTGGGAGGAGCAGCAACTTGAGCACCAGGGCCAAACTGATTCAAAACTACAGAAAAAGAATGATTTTTCTTAAGGTACCTTTCCCATTATCGTAATAAATTGCCCTGTCAAAAGAATATTAGACCATGTGCCCACGTTTCAAGCTCTAAGGAATATTGGAGTTATTGATATCCATAGGATAGGATAGTCAACTCCATAGAACTTGTCTGATAACCCTCTGGCTGATATGGTTTGTGAAATAGGTCATCCATACATAATTTTTTTTTTCAGTTCTTTACTTTTAAAGAGAAAGCACAGAGCGCTGCAGGAGGCCTAGATGAGCTTCTGGAGCTCAGTCTTCCTGCCAGCCCGGTCACTGTACCGACTTCTCCATCCTCCTTGCCCAACTGTTAGCTCACGCTTGCACACAGATGAGCCAGGATGCTCTCTGCGCCACCTGGGAGCACCCGAACTCTTCCCAAACATCTCTGGGTAGAGAAGCATTGCTCTAGTATTTGACAGTTTCCTGACTTAGAAATACGACGTACTAGCCGGGCGGTGGTGGCGCACTCGGGAGGCAGAGGCAGGCGGATCTCTGTGAGTTCGAGACTAGCCTGGTCTACAAGAGCTAGTTCCAGGACAGGCTCCAAAACCACAGAGAAACCCTGTCTCGGAAAAAAAAAAAAAAAGAAATACGATGTACTGAACACACTGTAACTTCCTCTTTATGTACTGTGTGTGTGCGCGCACATGTGTGTGTGCACGTATCTGTGTCTGTGTGTGTGTGTGTGTGTGTGTGTGTGTTTCTTCAAAGTAAAAGAAGATTCTTTGCCATATGCTTCTGGTCTTTTTACATTGGCAAAAGCACCCCTGAAAACAACTCGCAGTTACTGAAAGGCCTTCTGTTTCTCCCTTAGGAGTGTACAGAAGGCCGCGGGCCGGAGGCTTGCTGCACTGGGTCCTGCTGTTCCTGGGGGTCGTCAATGCAGCACGCCTGGAAAGTCCTCGGCAGCAGCCACAGCCCCAACAGGATCCTCCTCCTGTAAACACTCCATCCAGTTCCATAGGTGGTTACGTGCCTCTTGGGGTCCCTGGGTCGTGACCAGCCCTTCTTTTGGGACTGCCGTCACCGTGGTGCTAACACCATGAGGTCTGTTCCACCCACCACCTGAGGAAGAGTTCTCAGAACAGGAAACAGGCTTGGATGACGACAGCCTGATGCTTGGTCAGAAATGAAGATTGCCAGAGAAGAAAGAGATGACTAAACATGGGGGTTCGGGATGAAACAGGAGACAGGAAGCAGTGACGCCCATCTCTACCCCAGGGCCTTGGTGACTCTGCAAAACTTCTTGGGCCCTGGTCCAAAAGACCAGCATCTCCACATTTAAAACTCTAGTTCACACTCCGGAAGGATCGGGGAGCTGCTCTCGGGGCTCCAGCTCTAGCAGAGGAGCTACTGATAATTGAAGACTTCTGGGGAAGAAGAGCCAGTTTTCTTAAAGGATGCCGGCCCTAGTGGGCTGCCTGTGCCCCAGTAGATGGCCCTATGTCCATGCATGAGGCAGCTCAGTGCATTGCACAAAGGAAAGGACACGGATGTGTAGAGTAGGAAAGGTGGAATTACAGGGAGAGATATGATAATACACATTGTAAACACGTCTGAAGTTCTCAAAGAATAAAAAATCAATTTATGTTCAACTAGTTTAAATCCTGTCTTGGAGCCCATGTTCTTGTGATTCTGGTTTGCACTGCCCCAGTTTTAACTAAAACTAAACATCTCCGACGTCTGTCAGCCATCAGCATTTCCAGTCTAACAAACAGTTTATTTATATCCTTTGTCCATTTCCTACTGGCTTCTTCTCCTTTTCCTCATTGATCAGGCTAAGCTCTTTATGTATTCAAAGTCAGAACTGTCCAAGAGAAATAGAACAGGTGCCACCAATGAAAGTCGTATAAAATGTTCTAATGGCCCTATTGATAAAAGCAATTATCCTGACAGTGGACTTATTTAACTCAACATATCCAAAATATTTCCATTTCAACAGCAATCAATGTAAGGGAAGAGAAGGCCCTAGCTTCCAATCTTCCTATTTACCTTATTTTGCCATCCTTTTCCACTTAATGCAATGACATTATTAGTGTTTTCCAGTATGGTAATGCTTTTTGTGATTTGAGAAATCCTGCCTGGGCTGCAGAAATGACTCAGTAGGCAATGGCACTTGTCACGAAAGCCTGACAGCTTGAGTCTGAGCTCCAGATCCCACACACGGGTGTAAGATGAGAACTGGCTCAAGTTGCCCCTGACCTCCACATGCATGCTGGGTCACTTATACAGACACACACACACACATACACATATACACATACGTATATGCACACACATATATACACACATATACACATACACATATGTACACACAAACACATACGCACACACACATATACACATACACACATGCGCACACACGCACACACATATATATACACACATACACAAATAATTTTTTAAAGACAGAAATCCCTTCTGCTTGGGCATGATGTATATATATTCCTGTAACCCCGATACTGAGAAGGTGGAAGCAGGAGAATTGGGGATTCAAGGCCAGCCCCAGTTATATGAGAACCTAACAAAAAAAAACAAAAATAAAATGCCTCTTTTGTCATAAAGCACCACAAAGATACTCATAATTCATTGGAAAGATTCAGAGCTTACTTTCAAATCTTTAGGTTTAATCACTATTGCCTCGTTTTCTACTGGTGATCTTTGGATCTAATTTCCTTCT